GCTGCGCGGAGGAGCTACGGCATCAACCAGGCGCAGGCAGAGAACAGCCACGCAGCGGGCCCTATAGCTCAGGGGTTAGAGCACTGGTCTTGTAAACCAGGGGTCGCGAGTTCAAATCTCGCTGGGGCCTGACTCGGGTTTCTTCCCCTTTTTATAACCGACAGGTGGAAACGCGTAAGGTGCCCGCTTTTCTGGGGTGGGAGGCTGCCCCGGTGAAGTTCCCGGGTCTGGGCCCCGCCGGTGTCAGCCCCCGGCCTCCAGCGGCCCCGCTCCTGCCCCGCGGCCCCTCGCTCGCTGCCTCCTGCGCGCGCTACCGGCGAGCTCGTGGCGAGTCGCTCCGTACCCCGGGAGTCGCGGGGAGGCAAGGGCTCTCACCTTTTCATCTCCGCTGCCTCCCGCCCCCGGGGAACCTCCTGTTTTTGTTGGGAGGGCGACTGAGCATTCCCGCAAAACTCGCCGCTGGCCTCGCCACGTGGCTTCTGCAGGACCCGGCCTTGCGGGGCGGCAGGCACGTGGGGCCAACCAATCCCGGGGCCGAAGTCCGGGGCGAGCGGTGCCCCCCTCCACGCCCCCCGCCTGCCCCATTCGCTCTCCACGCACCCCGCCTGCCCCATTCACGGCCTCCTCCAGCGCCTCCCCAGGTTTCCGCCAGCGGTTCTTTCCTTCGGTGCACCCGCCAGCTTCTGTTTCTTTTCTTTTTTCTTCTCTTCTCTTCTCTTCTCTTCTCTTCTCTTCTCTTCTCTTCTCTTTTTTTTTTTTCTCTCACTCACAGTATTTTTCAGCCTACCATCCCATCAGCAGCCATCTAGGATCTCCTTTATAGTATGTTTTAATGTCTGGTTGGGTTATTTTCTCTTTCCTTTTTTTCTTCTTCTTTTTTTTTTTAAAAATCCTCTCCTAAAAAAAAAAATCCTCTCCTTCCTGAGGATATTAAATCAACATATATGCAGAAGGTCAGCATATATTAGTTGTATTTTTGTTGATTTTAAAGAGAGCGGAAGGAGGAGGGAGAGAAGGGGAGAGAAAGATAGAAATAGAGACAGAGAGAGAAACGCTGATCGGTGGCCTCACGCACTGCTCCCCACCACCCCAATCCCCGATCCCCCCGCAGGGTCCAGCTTCCGTTTCCTAACCCGCAGCGACGCTAAGTGCAGCCGGGAGTCAGCGGTGTCCCCGCGC